CACGGTTACCGTATGAAAACAACCTACGGCTTGTTGTACCCAAGACCACTACTAAGGAAACTCTTGCCAAGCAAACAAGCCCTTTACGGGAGGCGCTGACTTGTAGCTGCTCGACGGAGAGTTCATCATGAACACGGGCATCCAGGCAGTCACGTTCATCACTTGAGACTACGAACATCTAGACCTTATTCCGAAGCGCATATAAAGTCAGTCAACAACACAAAATATACTTCCCCGAGTGGATGCAAAGGTTTGCGTTCTAGATATGTGCCCTTCCAAGGAGGAAGACTGGTCTAACACCGAAATAGTTTATTTATTGTACTGAGCATTCAAAATCGTGCGGGAGCTCATCGTTGGAGATGGCAGTAACAGCAAACTGGCAAAAATTATAGGGGGTGCAATCCAATCAATGGTCAGTGACGCAAATCCGGAGGTGATTGTGCAGGGCGCTGTACACAGGCGTCAAATCCTGAACGACTTCGACAGCTCAGAATAATAACCAATCTGTTCCGCTGCTAGACCGGTCTTATCCTTTTCTCACCCTTTCACTTTCAGAAGCGACTTAACTCAGTCCACAGTAGGCCTGGATTCGTCTCTGACCAGTGCTGCCTAAAATGACTATTCGCGATTATGTACAGAATAGGGCACTCACTAACGTGTCTCCCATTATCCTGCCATTTTTCGTGAATATGCTTGATGACTGGGGGGGAGGAGGCTAAGATAGTCCTCTACCTTAGTTGGTATACACGGCCCCCAACCACTATTCACATATGCAGGGGCGGCTGATGCGAACTTCTCTCAACCTCGTAATGGCTGACGCTGTGTGAGCTTCCCCTCAAAAGTTTACTGCAGTCAGTTTTGAATATGTCCACCGTGTGCTACACAACAGAGTGGCGCAGGCACGGTGACTTGGACTGGATTTAAGTGAGAGAAGACTTACACTTAATCAACCCCATCTTCTGTTCCACTCCCCCATCTTGACCCCGTGCCAAGACAGAGTCAAAAAGACCGGAG